GGCCCCTGCGCGTGTCCTCGCCCTTGCGTGTGTGTGTGTGTGTGTGTGTGTGTGTGTGTGTGTGTGTGTGTGTGTGTGTGTGTGTGTGTGTGTGTGTGTGTGTGTGTGTGTGTGTGTGTGTGTGTGTGTGTGTGTGTGTGTGTGTGTGTCTGCGGGCGCTGTGCGAGCCGCCCTGAACGACCACAATGTTGAGCGCGCTCGAGCACCGAAGCACCGCGAGCGCCGGCGAGCACCACCGCCCCGCGCCTTGGCGTGGGTCGGTAGTACACGATGCGGCGCCCAGCAGCTCTATCATGCGTCGCACCCGCAGTGGCCGAGCCGACCGCCGCTCGAACTGGCGCCGAGTGGCTCCCAGATCGAGCGTGGCAGGCTCAGTCGCACCGTCGCGGGGCGAACGCGAACCGAGCCGTCGCCGTTCGCCGCAGCCGCCGGCCGCCAGCCGTCAGCCGTACAGCCGTACAGCCGTCAGCCGTCAGCTCGCAGTCGCCGTCGCTGCCGCCGCCGCAGCAGCAGTGAGCGAGCTCCTGCGTCGTGTTGCCGACGCAGTGTGGACGCGCGCCGCCCAGCGGCGAGCGAGCGTGCTCGGAGTTGGGTCGGCGCGCGCGCGGGCGGACGGCGCCTGTAAACAGACAGCCTGCACCGCCCACTCGTTCAAAATCGTAGACCGGGAGGACGTAATAAATAAATAAATAGAGCAGTCATCTCCAGGGAGAGATGGGCGACGCACACGAACACAGAGGGACAGTGCGCACCCCGCCCCGCTCGCAGGGCGTGCATCACACAGCACACAGGTGGACTGTATGACTCCTCGGGTTTCTGGGACTCAGAGGTGTGCTAGTCGCTATTCTCCGACAATTCCGACATATCTGACGGGCAGTTCGGGCTCGAGCGGTCGCGGTCGCGGCCAGCGCGTGAGGCCTGGCTAGGGTTGCCGGGCGAGAGCTCGACCCACGCGCCGGAGCGCGCGTGGTGCTTGAGCAGCCGGGCGGTCGCCGCAGCCACCTCGAAGGGTAGCTCGTCGAGCCACTCGCCGAATGTGCCCTCGTCCTGCGCCGCAGCGAGGAATTGCTCACCTAAGCCGTACGCGCGGCAGGCCCGGTAGAGCGCCTCGTTCTGGATCTCCTCCGGCGCCTCGGAGTCGTAGCCGCAAACGGAGGAGCCGGCAGAAGAGGCCCGCTTCGCAGGCGGCGCGTCAGGCGATGAGGAGCGCGAACGCCGCGGCGGCACACCGTCGCCGCGCGCGGAGAGCG